GCTTCCATTGTCTTCATTTATAAGTCGCTTTGGATAAACGTGTCTGCTAAATGTCTAAATGTAAATGTAAATGTAAATTCATGTAATCTGACAGTCCTATTCTGATCATGACTTCTCAACAATCTCTTGTTTTATTACTTTACTGCAATAAATCTGGAAATTAAATTGAATGAGTCCAATATTCTTCAATCTAAATAAAAAATAAGTAACAGTAAACAAAATCAAAGTAGACTAAATATTCTGTCTCGACTCTTGTTCATTATTCATAATGATTGTTGGAGTCGATTAACCCCGGTCTACAGTAACAGATGTTCAGCAGGGTCACAGTGGGGGCAGGGTCACAGGGTCACAGTATGACCTTTGACCCCGCAGACACTTGCTGTTTCTCTAAGTGAACCAGCTGTGCTTTTGGCAGATGTAACGGCTCTCACTCACACTCTCACTCACACACACACACTCTCACTCACACACGCTAAGAATAGGCTGCCCTGATCTGTTCACCTGAGCTTTTACAAACCAGCCCAGCATCAGCGGTTCCTGTTCTCTGAGATCTCTCTGCGTCTCACTTGCACACTTCAACCCAATGACCCACAAACACAAACAGCAGCTCGCTCACATTGTCCCGCTGTAATTCCCGCAGGAATCCGGCGAACGCAGCGTCTCATGATGCCTGTTATTCACATCAAACACACTTCAGACCACGTTTAATGGCATAAATGCTTGAATAATTCTGCGTGAATAAACATTTAACGCACTACAGGTGCAGTTCAGCCATATTTGATCTTTTGGCCGTTCATTCACGCACAAATGAAGATTTATGAGGGTTTTAGTGGCTTTCTCACATTACAACAGCTAAGACAGACGGTATGATGGCATTTCAAAACCCTGAACAAACACATGCAACAGGCACACTATAAAACCAGCTCGTTTTAATAGCTTTTAAAACATTGTAACGAAATGTCCAGGTCATATTTCATGCCAAAACAATAAGTAAGAAATTCTGTTTTGCAATTAAGAAAAGTAAGCCTATTATTATTATTTTGTCATTATCTGCATGAAAATTTCCCCCAAAATTAAAAAAAAAACAAAAAAAACATCTCTTTTACTATAATGTGGTGTTAAAAATCATCTTATTCAGATGCCTTAATTACAGTTTTTGCCTATTGCTTGAACACTATAGACACATGCTTAGACCAAAGTAACAAAACTTGAAGCTTTTGTTACTACACCTTAAACACAGTGTGACCATACCTTAAACAAAAGCGCTGCTTTGCACTTCAGTTGCATGTATAATTTTTGTATTACTGCATTTACTGTACTGTACTGTACTGTAAAGTATAGTACTGTGATGTGCAGTATTGAGTTGATGTCATTTGTAACCTTTCAGTACTTTCATTTTTGGTTGTTGTGAAAACCTTTGTTGGAAAAAAACAGAACAAAAACTGTAAGTGTTGCATTGAGCTTCACAGAATGCTAACTGATGAACTGAATAAAAACTGTGAAAATTAAAGACTGCAGTGTTTTGTATAAAGTACACTAGTGTGTTGCTGCTAATCTGAAAGTCTATTCATATGATGCAAGTGTGTATCATTTTGTCATCAGAGTGACATTTTGACAAAGGATTGTTAGGTTTTGATAGCGGAGTTTCAATTCGACATAGATGTGAATGGTTTATTTCCCAGTGTTGTGTCTTGTGTGCTTGTGTGTAAAGTTTTGACACAATGAGCCGAAGTTTTGCAAAAAGTGTTCAAGCAATAGGCAAAAACTGTAATTATTAATTTAAAATTATTATTAAATTATAATTTAGTTAAATAAAAACTACTATGTACTTTAATATAAAATAAAATAAATCCCACAGCACACACAAATACTGCATAAACAGTTTAATCAACACTACTCAGAAATAAATGTACAGTTGTGGCCAAAAGTATTGGCAGTGACATACATTTTGTGTTTTGCTAAATTTGCTGCTTAAGCTGTTGTGGTGTTCATTCACACTGTTTCTAGATTACGTCACCGCCAATACTTGTAGATATAATGAGAATGAACATCAAAACAGCTTAATTAGCGAATTTTGCAAAACACAAACTTCATGCATATTTTAAGGATATATTCTGCATTTCTCTCGTCCACCAGTGCACATAGATTATTTTCACTAAGCGTGTCACAATGCATTCTGGGATAGTTGCCTTTGCAAAAAAAGACACAAACATCTTAAAATACTGATGTTTGATGCCTTAAAATACCACCTAGGTAGGCAGCTCACTATATTTAGACCTCTGACTGAAAAATCCACGTGCATCTTGAGTTCAGCACTCAAAACAAATCAACCACCGGAGCGTTTGCAATTCAAATGAACTGTGTGCAAATTTAAAACATATTACCCAACATACTATGCATCACGCCCTCCGGCCCGTCTAAATTCTTCCACAGTCTCTAAGTGACAATGATCTAAAAATATCAATGGTGTAACAAAGGTACAACTATTTGACCTTTAACTGCCGTGTGCAAATGAAATCATGCAGGAAAGATCGGGTCGCAATATTCGAGCGACGCCACGCATCCGCAGCCTTTCTGAAATGCAGAGGTGATTCTTTCCGACCGGCAGCGGCACAATCATTAGTCCGACAGCGAGGACGGAAAAGCCCTCGTACCGACAGACACGCGGCGTCTCACATTTGCATGTGTTAATCGCTCTGGTGAAACTGCTTCCATCTGCACCAAACCCTCGCTTATGCAATATCAATATCTTCTAAACAGGCTCAGATGCAATCTGCACACTTATTTTACAGCATGCACACTGTCTAGATGGAGAAATCTCACAGGATTTGCATTTGCAACTGAGCTCAGGGTTGATACTTGCATTTTTTGTGGGATTTAAACAGAAAAATTACACTACTGTTTAAAAGTTTGGGGGAGGGTTTAGTTCTGTTTTTCAGCAAATATGCATTAAACTGATCAAAAATGACAGTAAATGCATTTATAATGGTACAAAATACTTTTTAATTTTAAATAAATGCTTTTCTTTTGATTTTTCGATTCATTAAAGAATCCTGGAAAATAAAATGCATCACAGTTTCCACAAAAACTATTAACTGTTTTCAACATTGATTATAATAAAAATGCTTCTTAAGAAGCACATTAGAATGATTTCTGAAGGATGATGTGACACTGAAGATTGGAGTAATGATGCTGAAAATCCAGATTTGATCGCAGGAATAAATTACATTTTAACAGATATTCACATAGAAAACAGCTATTTTAAATTATAAAAATATATCACATTTTTACTGAATCTTTCATCAAATAAATGCAGTCTAAATCACTGAACCCAAACGTTTGAATGCTGTAAACCTGTTCGGAGACAATCATTGTTTTTGCAATTCCGTTCGGTGCCACTAGTGGCGCTAAAATCCCACATTTCTGCTTTAAACACATGCACAAACACTACAGGTTCAATCTCACATCTGGGGACCAAGCGAGTTATTGAGATCGATTACCCATGAGCCACTGAGCCAAACAATTCACCCCAGACGCTCCAGGTGCAGTTATTAGTGCTCATGAAGACTTTGATTAAAAACCGTCCACTAAATGTATCACAGGTCTTTCAAATAAACGCATGCACAGAGAAATGACCCATTAATTATGCAAGTACACATCCAAATCAAAAGAAATAATTTTAATTACTTCATCCATTTCGCATCATTTTAATCAGCGCGGACGGGTTTCAAACGACAAAGAGTTCATGATGTAAGCAGTCTGAGTTAATCAGAGATGGTGTAATTTTATGACCCTCAGCAATAACAACGCAGGTTTCAGCAGCGGTGCTTTATGAAACATGTCTGACATGAGCGTTCAGAGACATTTCAAACAACAGCCAATATAAACACGCAATTACAAACCCGCCAGCACGCTTTCCCTAACGCTCATGCGCTGCTTGATTCACACTAACAAAACATCTGTTCACGGGTCAAAAATGACCCGGATCTTTAAGATTGCACTTCTTCGCTTTTTCTTTTTAATCCATAAACCTTACATCATTTCATTCTGATAACATTTTAAAATAATGTATAAAATTCTTAATAATTTTTATTTATAATTTTATATATGATACAAGATCTAATTTTAGAATAAAATCCTTAATGTATAATTTATATAAAAATTGTATGTATATATATATATATATATATATACACAAAAATTACTTGAAATAAAATAAATGTTAATTGAAATAAAAAAGTTACCAAGGTATTTTCATTTTCATTTAGTTTAACTTGTTTAACTATAACTAAAACTAAAACTGAATTAGAAATTAATAAAACACTTTATGTCATTATAAAGCAACAAAAAACTAATTCAAATAACAAAAACACACAACAAAATTATTAACAATAACAGAAACGCAACAACAAAATTACTCAAAATGATAAAAACAACAAAATTACTCAAATTAAAAACTAATATTAACATGGAGCAGAAAATATCAAATAAAATATAATTCAAAATATTAAAATAAAACTATAACGGTCTCTCAATGATTCTATTAAATAATTAAATAGAATATAAAATAAAATAAG